CCCCCCCGACTGTTGACTCATGTCCTCCCCTCCCCCAGGCTCCCCGGAAACACCACCCCCTCTCAGTGCAACTGGACCCCAAGCAATGACTGGTCCATTCGGGCCCATCTGGAAGCGGGGCCTGGGAGGGTGGGGTGAGCCTGGAGGAGCGCAGACGGGATGCACACGAGGACAGGTAAGGGGACAGGTGAGCAGGGCTGTGGGTTGTGTGCCGGCGAAGACACAAGGATGGATGCAGGAAAAGACGCAGGTGAGGACCCAGAGGCAGAGAAAACACACCTGCAGGAGACAATGCAGGTGAAAAGGCAAGTGAGAATATAGGTAAGAGAAACACAGGCTTACAGATAAAGATGGAGGTGAGAGGACCAGGTGAGGATGCAAAAAGCATGCAGCTGGATACAGTCAAGGGTGCCAGTCAGAATTCAGATGAAACTATTGATAAGAATACAGGTGAGAGCCGGGCTCGGTGGCTCAGCCTGTCATCCCGCACCTTTGGGAGGCTGAGGTGAGTGGATTGCCTGAGCCGGGGGTTCACGACCCACTTGGGCAGCGAGACCTCATCTCTACAATAAATCAAAAAATCAGCCAGGCGTGGTAGCGCATGCCTGTAGTTCCAGCTACTCGGAAGGCTGAGGCAGAAAGATCGCCGGAGCCCAGCAGGTCGAGGCTGCGGTGGCCAGGAGCGGCCGCTGCACTCCAGACTGGGCGACAGAGTGAGACTCCAACTCAAAAAAAAAAAAGAATTCAGGTGAAGGGGCTGGCTGTGAGTGGCCAGGGAGGATCCAGGTGAGAATGGAGGGTGAGGGATGCCCAGGAGAATTCCAGGAAAATTAGAGCAGAGAGGCAGGTGAAATGCAGAGGCACTTCAGGCAGATGAAGATGTACTTTGGGGAGGTACAGGTGAGACAGACACAGGCTCTCGGGGTGAAGCAGCTAGCATCCTCCCAACAGACGATAGGGGAGAATGAACGGGCCAGGAGAGGTTTCAGGTAGCTGCAGGTGAGGCAGCTGGGGACTCCAGACTTCGGGAGCCACGTCAAATGTAACAGAAGCTTTATTGTGCGGGGGGGGGACGGGGGGGCGGGGCGTGGTCAGTTGGGGCACCCAAAGACAATCATGTTCTCCGTGAAGCCGTTGAGGTCCCGGCATCGCTTTGCGTTCTCCTCGTCTTGGCATTCGTCCTCCTCGGGCCAGAACTCCAGCCAGGTGTCCTTCCCGATGAGATAGCTGATCCTGGCGGGGTGGAGTGGCAGGTAAGGAGGGGGCGTGAGTGTGGAAGGGGCAGGCGTGGACAGAGGCGTGGGTGGGGCCTGAGGTGTGGGCGGGGCGTGGGCGTGGGTGGGGCGTGGGCTCACTTGGGCGGCTCTCCCCACAAGTCGGAGGACTGGCCCCACATGAGGTAGTGTTTCCCGTCCTGCAGGTCCAGCGTGTCTCTGCACTTGATGTGACTAATGAACGTGCGCTCATGCCCAACCTGCACCTCATCCGTGCCTGGCGTGGACAGAGAGGGAAGCTGAGTCTTGGGGAAGAAGCAGACGGGAGAGGACCGCGGGGAGACCGGCGCCGAGGCTGACCTGACTTGATGATCTGCTGGATGGCCATGACGTACTCGTCGAAGTCTGTGGACAGCTGGGTCCTGACCAGCTTAGTCTTGTACACTGCGTGGGAGGGGGAACAGCGTGGTCACGAGAGGGCGCCCTGGTGGGCAAGTACCTCTGTGCGTGTGGCTCCCACAAAAGAGGGACATGTGGGGTCACAGCCAGTCACAGAGTCCACACAACCACATAGGGCCACACAGTCGCCATTCCACACACAGCTACCATGCCACATGCGGTTGCAGCCATCTGCAAGTGTGGTCACATGCTCAAGGACAGCCGTCCACTATCACAGCCTCATAAAACCATGGCTACGCACGACTACAGTCTCCCAACCACACAACCACGCACACGATTAGAGTCACTTAAAATAACAGCCGTATACACAATGACAGTGACTTTCACGTACAGCCATCCACAATCACGGAACCCCACAACCATGACTGCAGACAACTACGACCTCACAGCCACACACACAGCCTAAAACGACAGTGGCATACGCAGTCTGACACACAGCCACTCACGTGTGCACCCCTGCCCGACATCACCCACTCACCGTAGTCCACTCCTGGCTCGCAAACCTTGTCTTCTCGGTACTCCTGGGTGACACTGTCATCCAGCTTTTGCATGAAGCAGTTCTCTGTGGGGCCAGGTTGGAGACAGGCTCTGAGTCCTACTCCCTGTCCCGGCCCACGGCCATGGGTGTGGCCAGCCCCAGGGAGGGGGGGTCCACCCCTCTTAGCAGTCCCTGGGTGTGCAGGTCTGGGTGGGTGTGGCTTACTCAGGACCACCCCCTCCTGGCTCCAGGACACCCACCCTCAGCACAGCGGCACAGCTCCCCGCGACAGAGTTTGCTCAGCTGTCCATCTTCCTTCTCTGGGTGGTAGAACTGGGTGCAAGATTCCTCTGTGGGAAAAGGGGAGGGGGAGGGGGTCAGAGGGCCAGAGCCTCCATCCTGAGACTGTGCCTGGGAGGCTCAGAGCTCCAAGACCTGGAGATGCTAGTCTCTAACCCTCAGACCCCTCGGACCCTCAGACCCCTGACTCTTAGATCCCTGGTACTTTCAAAACCTCAACTCAGATCCTTCCATAGAATTGTCAAGACCTCAGATTCCTGGAATTCTCAGACCCTCATTCCCAGACCCTCCCCCCAATTCACATATACCTGGGACCCTGAGACCCCTAGCTCCACTGACTCCCCAGCTCTCAGATCTCTGGGGCCCTCATACCTCCAATGTGCAAATCCTTGGGACATTCAGACCCCACCCCTCATATCCCTAGGATCCTTAGACCCTCATTCTCAAACTCCCTGACTCACGTATGCCTGGGACCCTCAGACCCCTGGATCCACCAGACCTCCCACTCACAGGTTCCTGGGACCCTAAGAACCTCAACTTATAGATCCTTGGACCCTCTAACCCCTGAGACCAATTTTCGGAACTTTGGGGCCCTCAGACCCTCAAAACTCTTAGACCCCCAACTCACAGATGCCTGGGACCCTCAGACCCACAACTCCCAGATCTCTAAGGCCCTAAGACCCTCATTTTTAGACTTGCCCAACTCATAGATCCCTCAGACCCCTCAAACTATCAGATCCCCAACTCACAGATCCCTAGGACCGTCAGACCTCAGACCCTAGATTGGCTGCTCACCCGGGTTGTAATACGAGTAGACCTTGACTCCTCCGGGCTGGAGAAGTTCTGCATTAAAGTACTGGTGAACTTTGAAGGCTATGCAATCGTCCTCAGAGTGTGAGACCTGAGGGGAAAAGAACTTAGTCAGTGGAGTGCCATGGGAGGGAGTCCGGCATAGGGTCCTGGGAGTTGGCTCAGTGGAGGAGAAAATGAAGGATCAAGGGGGTGGTGGGGGAAGAGGAAGTAGTGAAGATGAACAAGCCGCTCAGCAAATCCATTTTCTTGTTCTCCGTGGCTCGGAGCAAAATGACACTTCTCAGTCCCTCCTTCAATTAGTTGTGGCCAGGTGGAGGAGCTCTGACCAACAGAGTGCTATCTATTCCATAAAGACATCCTACACACAACTTTTGTTTCTTCTAGGAAAAGAAAAATGGATCTTGCCCAAGACTCCAAGATCCTAGGGATTGCAGAGCCACGGATGGGAGGTGCATGGATCCCTGAGTGACTGTGTAGAGCAGAGGGCCCCTTCCTTTCCTCCCATATCAACTGGACTTCTCATGAGTGAGAAATCCACAAGTCTATTGTGTTAAGACCTCATAATCTTAGGGGTTTTGTTTTAGCAGCTGGTGCTCATTGTGCTGACTAAAGTGGGAATGATGGGCACTGGGGATATCAGGAGTTATCAGGGAGGATATAGAGATATGAGAATGGGAAGAAATAGGGAGGGAGGTGCACCTAAATCATGGTAGAAAGCAAGAGAATGTCAGATGGAGAGAAGATAACAGATGAGAGAAATAGATGCCGAGAAAGGACTAAAACTGAGATGGGCCGGGCTCGGTGGCTCAGCCTGTCATCCCGCGCCTTTGGGAAGCTGAGGTGAGTGGATTGCCTGAGCCTGTGGGTTCGAGACCCACCTGGGCAGCGAGACTTCATCTCTACAATAAATCAAAAAATCAGCCGGGCGTGGTAGCACATGCCTGTAATTCCGGCTACTTGGAAGGCTGAGGTGGAAGGATCGCCGGAGCCCAGCAGGTCGAGGTTGCGGTGGCCAGGAGCGGCCACTGCACTCCAGTCTGGGCAACAGAGTGAGACCCCAACTCAAAAAAAAACACAAAAAACTGAGATAGGGGTAGGAATCAAAGTAAAACCCTTTTCTCTACAAAGAGCTTAAATAAACAAAAAAGGCTGAGCATGGTGGCTCACACCTGTGATCCTAGCGCTTTGGGAGGTCAAGGTGGGAGAATTGTCAAGACCAGCATGGGCAACATAGTGAGATCCCATCACTACAATTTTTTTTTTAACGAGCCATGTATGGTAGTGTACACCTGCCATCCTAGCTACTGGGGAGGCTGAGGTGGAAGGATTGCTTGAGTTCAGGGGTTTGAAGCTGTAGTGTGCTGTGATCTCACCACTGTATTCCAGGCTAGGCAACAGAATGAGACCTTGTCAAAGAAGAAGGAGAAGCCGGGCTCGGTGGCTCAGCCTGTAATCCCACGCTTTGGGAGGCTGAGGTGAGTGGATTGCCTGAGCCTGCGGGTTCGTGACCCACCTGGGCAACTTGGTGAGCCCTCATCTCTACAATAAATCAAAAAATTAGCCGGGCGTGGTAGTGCACATCTGTAGTTCCAGCTACTTGGAAGGCTGAGGCGGAAGGATTGCCGGAGCCCACAGGTCAAGGCTGCGGAGGCCGGTAATGGCCACTGCACTCCAGTCTGGGTGACAGAGTGAGACTAACTCAAAAAAAAAAAAGAAGAAGAAGAAGAAAAGGATGAGGAGGAAGGAAAGAAGAAGGAGGAGGGGGAGAAGGAAGAAGAAATAATTAAAATAAAACAAGTGGTTCTTTTTCAATGGTTGTTTAAGACTCTGATGAGAAGAAGTTGGAGTTCGTGAGTGAAAAATGAGCATCAACGGCCAGAAGGTAAGATGTTTATAGAATGTGCTGGGCTGGCACCTCCTTTTACAAGCTCCTTTCCTTACCGCCCAACAGCACAGACCCTGTCTCCCCTAACCTAGGCTAATCTGACCTAGAGACAAAGGCTGTGAGGCAAAAAACAGGCCAGTTAGATAGGAGTCAAGGTACCCCAGGGAGCCCCCCAGGGCCTGAAGATGCAGCTTTACCTTGTCCAGGTAGATGATGAGAGTATTCTTCTCGGACAAGCCTTTTTCCAGCTCATACTTAGAGATGTATCTGTCGACACCATTGCTCAGCTAGAGAAAGGCAGAGATTGCATGACTATCCCTCCTGGACCCTGCCCTCCCTAAAGCCTCTTACAAATCCTGGACTCCTTCCCATTGGCTGCAGCTCCTGGGCCTGTCCTACCCTCTTGAGGTCCTCCATGTCGGGAACAAAGCCAGTCATCATGGAGATATCCAAGATGGACATGGTAGCATCGTGGTTTTCCAGGTACCTGGAGATGGCGGGAAGAAAGGTATTGGGTTCTAGGGTGGGTTCCAGCCTGGGGGTCTGTGCCTGGACATGGGGGTCTGGTCAGCAACTGAGAGGTTTCTGGTTCTCACATAACAGCGTGGAGGGATGTTGAATTTCAGGAAACGCTTCCCCAAGGGAAATAAGGGACAAGGTGGTACAATAGTCAAAGTGATTAAGAGCTCAGATTTTGGCCTCAATTGCACAGGCTCAAATCCCAGCTCGATATAAAGTATGATGCGTTCTGTGACCCCTCCGTAACTCCATTTTTCTAGAAAACGAAGATAAGAATACACGTAGTTCTTACTTTGTTTTATCTTTTTCTTTCTTGAGTCAGAGTCTCACTCTGTCTCCCAGGCTGGAGTGCAGTGGCTCGATCATAGCTCACCGCAGCCTTGACCTCCTGGACTCAGACAATCCTTCTGCCTCAGCCTCCTGAGTAGCTGGGATCACAGACACATACCAGCATGCTTGACTTTTTAAAAAAAAATTTTATAGAGATGAGGCCTCACTGTGTTGCCCAGGCTGGTATCGAATTCAAATAATCCTCCCAAAATGCTGGGATGACAGGCACGAACCACCATGCCAGTATCGCCATCCTTATTTTGTACGATTCTGCTACTATGTTATATAAAGAGAAGAACCAAGCATTGGCGAAACTACAGGATTCTCCTTGCATGTCTCACAAAGGACAAAACAAAAATACCTTGAATTTCAATGCTCTAGTATTTTAAATTACAACATATTCAAATACTCATCTTACTATATTTGTTATTTACCTACATATGTATTCCTGCTGGCAGTATAAGAATTTTTAATGAGTTCATAGAAAAATTGAGGCCAGGCTCACACCTGTAATCCCAGCACTTTGGGAGGCTGAGGCAGAAGGATCACTTGAGGCCAGGAGTGTGAAAGCAGCCTGAGCAACAAAGTAAGACCTTGACTTTTACAAAAAAATTTTAAAAATACATTAGCTGGATATGGTGGCGTGCATCTATAGTCCCAACTCGAGAGGCTGAGGCAGAAGGATCACTTGAACCCAGAAGTTTGAGGCTGCAATGAGCTATGACTGTGCCACTGCACTCCAGCCTGGGCATCAGAGTGAGACCTAGTCGAAAGAAAAGAAAAAGGAAGGAAGGAAGGAAGGAAGGGGGGGTGTGATTTCCCCACTGATTATTAAGGTCGCTTTGACTGTCTCCATTTGCATGGCTGTTGCTATGGTCTACCCTGCCACGCAAGACAAGGACTGTCTGTATTTTCCACCTCATGCGGGATCCTTAGAATAATACTAGGCACACTGTGTACTCAGAAAGTGTTGCACACCATAGATATCATTTGCAAGAAGTCTTACTAGAGACAGGGATGGCCAAGACGAACCCCGGTGACCCAGCTTCTTACCTAGCACAGATGCCCAGGATCATGCTGTTCTTGGCATCCTGAGGTCTCTTTTCTAGAAGCACAGAAGATAGGTGAGAGCGGGTATACCTGGGTCCTGATTCAGGAGGGGCAGGCATTAGAATAGGGTGGGAGGGAGGTGACAGAGAGGGCCTTCATTCCGTTTACCTGTCTCTGGAGCTGGTTTTATGGTGACCCTGAGGCTGAACTTGTTACAGGTGAGTTGGCCTTGGGCCTTGGCATGGTACATTGTCACCACCTGGAGACATGGGAGGGGAGACAAAACTTATCCATGGGGTTAGGGACTGCTGAGGACAGGAAGGAGAGGCTCCCTCCTGGGCAGAGAGGCTGGAAGGAGGTTATGGGTCAGGCAGGTGTGGGTTTCCATTCCTTACCGTCAAGGTGCCTTGGCCTTTCCCTTCAGCTATGAGTGAGAAACCTTCATTTTCCTTGGTCTGCAGAGAGTGTGGAGAGAGAGGAACATGTGATGGGAACTCGCCTTTCTGCTATCTGTGAGGAACGTCTTACCTCCCTCTTCCTCCCAGCAAACCCTGGCTGGGGTGGAAGACGAAACTGAGGAAGGCTTGGCCAGGTGACTGTACCTCTTCCGACCGCAGGAGGCTGGCAGATTCCCAGAGAAGGCGGTGGTACACCTTGGAGTTGCGGCTGGGCAGGTTGATGGATACGCCCAGGTTCAATTCCTTGTGGTCGGGAGCATCTCTTTTGTATTGGGCCAAGGCTTGGAATACCATGAAGGTGGCCTAGAACCCATGGGAGAGAAAGATGGTGAGCTGGAGCCTGAGAACGTGGTTAGAATCCACTGGGAGATAAATCGGTGCAGATCAGAGCTGGGGCACCCAAACTGTGACTTAAAACCCACCAGAGAGTGCAGGGGAAAGATTGGAGCTCACTAGACACTGAGGACATGTTCTAGAACTCTCCAAGGGACAGAAACTTAGACCAGGACTTGGAGACCAAAGCATGTCTAGAAATCACCAGAAAGTCCAGATGTATGATTGAACATCTATCAAGGATGTGGTCTAGACCCCTCTAGAGGAGTCCTAGACCAGGGCTTGGAGACATCGAGAATGTGTCTAGAACTACTTGTGAAAAAAAAAAAGAATAAAACAGGAGGCTGGAGACACTGAGCATATGATCTAGAACCCAAAGGTGACACTGAGAGTGTAACACTGAGAATGTGATTGAGAACCCACCAGAGAAGAGGTCAAATTGGATCTTGAGGTTATTGGAGCCTGAAGTTACTGAAACCATGGTCTAGAAGCCACCAGGGAGAGAGAGGGGCTTGAAGAATGCCCCGGAGTAGCTGAAAACCCTGTCTGGAGCTAACCAGTGAGGTGGGGTAAAATACTAAGTTTGGTGGAACTGGGAACATGGTTTTGAGTCCACAAGGTGGAGAGAGAGGCTTATACTAAAACCCACACCCTGAGAACAAGTTGAGACAACAGGAGAGAGAAGGGAACTCAAACACAGTTGGAGCATCTAGAACATAGTCTAGTACCTCCAGATAGGTTTATAGCCAAGAAAAATTGATTTCTAGACTCCACTTCCATCATCCTGGCTTGTGGGACAGAACTGCCTCTCTGGGTCTTAGTGTCCTCTCTGGGAGGCCAGTGGGAGGCCATGAGAAGCAGGGATGTGTGTGGGTCCACTTGCCTGGGTGGAACCATAGCCACCACCGTAGTATCTCTGTTCATTGAGCCAACGCACGACGGGGGGCACAGAATCAAAGTCTTTTAAGTACAGTAGGGCCAAGAGGGCATAGGATGTGGCCTCCACGTTGTAGAGATGCTGACCAGGCTCCTCCCAGCTCCTCTTATCTGCAAAACAGACAAACCTCTGTCCAGCCTGAAAATGGCTCATTGAAAGCTCAGGAAAAGAAGCATGCTAGATTTCTTAGGGTTCAGGCATCCTGGCTGACATTCAAGGCTCTCAAGTTTCTGGCTCCTGCTTCACCCTCTTCTTCCATCCACCCTTGTTCTGCCTTTTGAAATGAATGCTCAATACATAATTGTTGAATGAAGGATGCAACAGACTTTCTAGTAGGGTTACCTTGAGGATTTGGTACATTTTAGAGTCACTCAACTTGCTCGACTCAGGGCCAGCCATCCCAACTCAGCTCAGGACTATCCATCCCAGCCCAGCTCATAGCCACCCATCCCAGCCCAACTCAGGACCATCCATCAAGCCCCCCCACCTCAGGACCACCCATCAGTCCCAACTCAGAACCATCCATCCCAGCTCAGTGCAGGACCATCTATCCCTGTCCAACTCAGGACCATTCAGCTCAAGACCATCTATTGCAGCTCAGCTGAAAGCCATGATCTCAGCTCAAGATTACCTGCCCTAAACCCCAGTCATACACCTTCCGCCATCCCTCCAGGCCGTGCTCAGAAATTTATTGAGGTGTTCCTCTCACCTTTGGCCGTGCTCAGAAATTTATTGAGGTGTTCTTCCTTCAGCCTGTCCATCTGGGCCAGGGCGTAGCCAGCAATGGCCACAGTGTATGATCTCCTCAGGTTCAAGTAATTGTTGTAAAGGAAGTCTCCTGCCTTATTGATACTGCCTTCCAGGCTCTATGAGGAAGAGGATTGGTACTCTGGTCATGTGGGCATTGCCACCACATCAGTAAGGATCCTACATCCAGGATTCCTATCTTTGGGACATCTCAATCTTGGATCTGTCCGCTTTCTTAGGATCTCCCCAGCAGTTTAGCCACCGTAAGCTGCCTGGTTGCTGAATACTTATACTTACATAATAAGTATTCTGGTGGTGTTCTGGTGGTGTTCTGGTAAATTTTTAATAACAAGCTCTCCAGTGGGAGGGTGGGAGAAACTCTTGTTTATGATTGACAATTTCTGAAGTGTCAGTACTCCCACCGGGGCCATTTTTCCAACTATCAATGTGAGCAAAGTGTTGAGGGGAGACATTGCAAATAGGCACTCATCAGCCAGTATGAGCTGGATTCAGCACACCACGTGAGCACTTCTTGTCCAATCACCATCCTCCTCCTCCTCCTCCTCATCATCACAATCTTCATCACAATCTTCATTACCATCATAGTTCACACTTACTCTGTGCCAGTCATAAATCCACTCATTTAACCACTTAAAACCCTAGGAGGTGAGAATCCTGATACCCTAACCTTAACCCAACCCTAACCCTCTAACCCAAGGTGCAGTAATTTTGCCAAGACCACTTAGGTAGTAAGTGGCAGAGTCAGGATCCAAATCCAACTTTCTGGAGGTAGGGGAAGACATGATTTGTATAGTTTGCTGACCTCCATGGTATAAATACTTCCATAATGACTGATTTCCACCTGCCAAAATATGGCATAACTGAAAGTAGAGTTGGCAAGAGCTCTGCAGTAACACAGTATTGTATAGTATTTCCACCAAACAGATACAACAGATGTAAATAACCTCAAGAAATGGATTATGGAAGTAAAAAATTTAGGAAGTGATGAGTTTTGAGCGTTTACTATCTTCCTGTTTATTATAACTTATTTAACTGCAAGTTTACATAACTTAATTTCTTTAAAGAAATTTTTTTTTAAATTAGAAATAGAGACAGGGTCTCACTATGCTGCCCAGGCTGGTCTCAAACTCATCATCTCAAGTGATCCTCCCACCTTGGCCTCCCAAAGTGCCGAGATTACAGGCGGGCACCACCATGCCCGGCCTATAACTTAGTTTTTAATTGTGTTTAGCAACCAGCATGCAAAATTTCTGTAAATTTAACAACTGGCTCCGGCAAGCTGGTTCCAGCACACTTTTGACTTGACCCCAAGAGTCTGGTTCCACAGTCTGTGCTAAATACCCTGCTATACTTTTGCTATGTTGTGGCAGAAACCCACCCTTTGACCTCCCTAGCTGCTTCTCCAACATCCACCCCTGACTTTTGTAAGGACTTGTCTTCTTCCCTTCCAGTGGCCCCAGTGGAAGCAGCCATGTCTGCCCACTGAGACCCACTTCCTGTCCTTAGCTGATTGGTCTAGATGTAGTCACATGGCCCAGGCTGAGCCAATCAGAGTCCTTCTCTGGGAGTCTGGAGGCTGTAGTCTTCATCATGTGAAATTCCTAGATGGGAGGTCTTGGTTAAGTGTTCAATACGTGTTAGGGATCATCATGGCCACTTTGGTGGCTGTGATTACACTGGGAAGGGCTTGGAATGCAGCCCCTCACCCTCCAAGGTAGATGTTCTGCTGATGTAGGGGAGGGGAGAGTGGGAAGGTAGAGGACACTTACGTTGACCTGGCCCTCACAGATATCTTTCGCCTCCTGCAGTGCGATGAGAACAAAGGCTGTGAGGGCCACGTCTTTCTCCTGATCACCCCGGAAGCCACCCTGGAATGGAGAGCAGGAAGCAAGGATGGAGCCACCAGCATGTCCAAGAACGCCAAACAACCCTCCTGCAGAATCAGGAAGTCTGGGCGGGGCTGGGTCTCTTCCTGGTGTGCCTCCCTGCCTCCTGCTGCCCCAGGAAGGTCAAACTCTTTTAGTATCCATTCATTCAATCATTTGTCCTTTCTGCAAACATGAATGAAAGGTCTCTGTGCTGACATCATGGCCACGTTGTTGGTTGAAAATGAGACAGCAGCCCCAGCCCTCACGGAGCTCCTTGTCTGGCAGAGAAGATGGGCATGAACCAACCAGTTCTCAAGAGATATATAATTATACTGATGAGTGCTGGGCAGGAGCAGAGGAGCAGCAGTGAGAATGAACTGTGGGAGTGTGACTCAGGGAGGTCAGGAAAGGTGTCCCTTGGGGAGTCAACTCTTGAAGAAGGCAGGGCTTAGCATGCTACGCTGCAAGAATCGCATGTGCAAAGGCCCTGTGGCAGGATGCAAGGGGAAAGGCCGGGACGATCAGGCTGAAGCAGCAATTCTCCAACTTGGGCACACTCCATCATCTTGCTGTGGAGGTGGATGGGGAAGCTTGTAAAAATTCAAACTTCTAGGCCCTGACCCTAGAATTTCTGATTCAGTGGCTCTGGGGTCAGATCCCAAAAGTGCCTTTTTAATTTTTTTTTGAGACAGGGTCTTGCTCCGTCGCCCAGGCTGGAGTACAGCGGCACAATCATTCCTCACTACAGCCTCGAGCTCTGGGGCTCAAGTGATCCTCCCACCTCAGCCTCCTGAGTAGCTGAGACCACAGGTGCGGGCCATCAAGCCTGGCTAATTTTTAAAATATTTTCTAGAGATGGGGGGGTGGTGGTGTATCCCTGGCTGGTCTTGAACTCCTGGGATCTAGCGATCCTCCCACCTCTGCCTCCCAAAACACTGGGAACACAGGCATGAGCCACTGTGCCCAGCTCAAGATTGTGCATTTTTAACAAGTTCGTGGGTGATGATGCTGCTGCTGGTCTGAGAACCACACTTTGAGAACCACTACTCTGAGGAGTTCTGTGTTTATTTTTGGAATGATGACTTTCTAAGGACTGATCCGGTCACATTTGAAAAAAAAAATCACCCTAGCTGCCATGTGGTGAGTGTTCTGAGAGCCCACAAGAGTGGGAGGCCACCAGGGGAATGGCCAGGAGGCAGCTTCTGCAAGGTCACCAATAAGGAGCTGGCTGTGAGCGAGAGAGAAGGGGAGGAGTCCCGCAACATCGAGGCGGCAGCTTAGGGTAGAGCTGGTGGTGGACTGGACGTGAGGGAAGGCATTCCCAGGCAAGGCTTCTGCACTGGGTTTAACGGCATCCTTACTAATTTCTGAACAAGGGGCTACGCGTTTTCATTTTGTACCGGACTCCCCAGGTCTTTGGTTTGTGCAGCGTTGACGTGACACCGCGGCTCATTTACCCCCCTGCCCCTCACCTCCCATCCCTGCACAATGAGCTGGGCCGTGGCCCCGACCCCACTCTGCTCTGAACTCCAGCCTCTTACAATCATTTCTTGGTGGATCACAGGTCCATCCTCCTGGAAGAGTCCATCGGGCTTCTGCTTCTCCAGGATCAGCCACTTGACAGCCCCACAGAGGACCTCGGAGTTGATGGCAATGAGGTTGACCGCCAGAGAGAAGACTTTGACCACGTAGGCGGTCAGCCTGGGGGTGTGCACGGAGCGCGAGCCAATCAGCTCTGGGGCCCAGAGACTGACATCCCAGTCAGCCAATGACCGTCGGGGAGCGGGGCCGGGCCCGGGGTGCTGGCTTTGCCGTCCCAGGGCCCGCCGCCCGGCTGTGGCATGCAGTCATGGCTTAAAGGGGCTTGATGCCCGCCGATCCCTCAGCCAGATTGTGTTTTGGCTCTGTGGGTGGAGGGGTCTAGGGGTGTGTCGCCCAGGGCTTTGTGGGCGGGGCTGGCCTGGGGGACCACCCCTGGCGGGGGGGGATCCACGAGCCCAGCAGCCCCAAGGCCGAGGCTGGCCACACTGACCGTGGAGACTCACCAGGTGCTGGGAGCCCGGTTTAGGAAGGCCGAGTAAGCCGAGCTGGGTTGCTTGAAGGCTAACTGCTGAGTGTACCCTGCAGGGAAGACAGAGTGTCCCCAAAAGAGCGGTGGCTGGGGGGGAGGGGGGCGCGGCACAGAGAGGGGACAGGGATGCCACAAGGGGTGGAACGGGGGCTCAGAGTGGGAAAGGGGCGGCTCTAGGTTGGGGAGAGGTTCGAGGGAAGGGAGTTCAAAAAGAGGAGGGGGTCGTCAGAGCGGGGACTCAAGCAGGGGCGGGGTCGCAGAGGGCCAGGGCGGTGATAAACCGGACCGGACCCCGTTCCTCTCTGCTCATTGGCTGGCTGGGATGTCAGTCTCTGCGCCTCAGAGCTGATTGGCTCGGGCTCTGTGCCCACCCCCCAGGCTGACGGAAGCGGGGAGGCGTGGCCTCAAGAGGAGGCGGGGCCCCAGGGGCGGAGCCCTGGGATCGCCCACACGAGCGGGGCGCTCACCCTTCCGGATGAGGTCCAAGGCGGCCTGTCGCTTTTCCAGGCCGAACTTCTCCCACTGCTCGGTGTGGTCCAGGTAGTGCACTGCGATGACCGTGGGCGTCATGCTGATCATGTTCTGCTCCCCGCAGCCCGAGGGGGTCACGATGAGGTGTTTCAGCCGCTCCCCGTCGATGGCGTCCTCTGTCATCTGGACCACCGGGTTCCCTGCAGCCGGGCAGGGGGACGTCGCTCCAGCCAGGTGACCCATCGGGGGGTGAGGAGGGGCCGGGCTGCCGGCAGCGTTCCCAGCCTCCCACCGGCCAGGGCCGAGGGGTCAGGGAGAGGCGAGGGCTGGGAGGATGCGACCGGGAGGGGGAGGGGAGGGTGCATGGCTGAGTGGCTGGTCTGAGGTCTGCATTGGGTGGGGAGGGGAGCTGTGCATCACAGGGGCACCCCCGGGTCTCTTGTTTCGCCAGGAATAAAGCAATCCCAGTAACAGTATTCACGAATACTTGTACCGGGCTTAACGTTATTGGCCAGACTCCAGGGAAACACCATCTAGTATCTCATGTAACACGAGGTAGCTACAATTATTTGCCCCCATTATAGATGAAAAACAAAAAAGCCTCCTGTCCCCAAGCCTTACAGCTCACAGGTTGCAATGCTACTTCTTGCCCTGGCGAACTCTAGAATGTCTACTCTTGAACTTGAACTTGTAGAAATTGAAACTAGAAGTCTTGCTTCTAACATGTAAGCTTTTTTTTTTTTTTTTTTTTTAAG